TAGGGTTGTATCCTATTCTTAATTTTCTCAGCCCCTTCCTGGTACAAAATAACATCTTAAAATTCTTTGTATGACTGAATGGTGCCAAGTATAAATTACTTACAGCAATGGTGTCCCCAAAAGGGACTCTGACTCCAGGCACACTGCATAAGCTGAAGAAAATACAACTGTATTTCTACAATCCCTTTATCTGAAACTCCTGGGCCAGATGTGTTTCAGAGTTCAGATTGTTCACTACTCACATGCCTACTAGGGTTTGCAGGAGGACCCTGTAATCAAATATATTAATAGCTTTGCAACAGAATATGTGAAGAGTCCTATTAAGTGTAATAAAGAGTTCAAGTCAGGTTTATTGCCAAGTAAGTTATCAGGACAAATGTCAAAGGCTTGGGATTGTGAAATTGCGGACGAGGTACCATGAACGTGTACTGGCCTAGCCGTATGGTGACCTGTGAAACACATCGATGCTAAACTGGGTTCCTCACATTCCATCAGGTTGGGAAGCACTGATACAACATGGAAGTTAAAAATATCTAGTTTTTTTTCAACACAGCTGACATAAATGAGGCATTTATGGTGTGTCCGCTCCTGTGCTAATCCCTTTAAATACAGCAGTAAAAACTATCTGTCCCATTTTACACATGAGGAAACTGGGCTTTAGGGAAGGGGTTATCAATTTGCTGCACATCTAGTAAATGGCTGAGCTGGGATCCATACCCAAGTAATCTCACGCTAACAAGATTTTAACAAAATAAAAATTCTTTAGTTTTTCAAGTTTCTTTGTAATCCTGAATCTAAGTTTCTGGAATTTAAGTGAATATAAAAATCCTATACTATAAATTCCTCTTCTGGGGAAAGAAAGAAAAAAAAAAACAAAAAAAAAACAACCCGGCTGGCTACTATGTGTAGCCAAAATTTATATATTTATATAATGGAACAATTTATTTCCTCAGCTAAACCAGTGTTTTAAATATTTATAAAAGATCAAGTGATTTCAGATAATTAAAAATAAATACAGTCACTTTAACTTGCCCTGATTTCTTTTGCAGCCTGCAATCCAAGGTCTGCTATTCCCTGACAGGTAGGATAAGAGATGGTAGAAAAGACTAATCAAAAAGGCACCAATTTAGATAATATGTAGATTTTTACACTTATCTTTTTCAAGGGCACGTTGGTTACTTGAATTTTTTTTTTTAAGCCACGCAATAATTGATACAATTTATTTGTGATAACCACACCAAACATAATACACTCCTTTGGAATTACCAAATATAGCAGTGACATTTTGGCATTAAGGAGTTAGTTATATAAGAAAAATAAAGCTATTAAAGGATCCCTATAGGGCTATAGCTTCAACTGAAGTTACAATGTTTTGGACCTTAACCACACTTGAACAAAAGCCTCAAACCATGAAATGTAGGGGAGCAAAAACACGACACACGTTAATTCCATGGTACAAAGCAGATAATGTGAAACGAGGATTAAGAAATGAAAATAACATACACACTGAAAACATCACAACAGAAACGGGCTTTATTTCAACCAGACAAGTGAATACTTCAATTAGCATCAACTGCTTCAAGACTTAAGATATTAAAGTTAATGATGATGCCCAGGAGGCAGAAAAAAAAGATTCATCATGGAACAATTGTGTCGCCCTTCTGAAAGCTCTTCCAACAACATGTCTATCCAAAAGATCAGTTTGTTCTAGATCATTAGCTCTTAGGGGTTCCAATATTTGTACAAGAACCTTATTAGAACGTTACCCATCAGTCCCTATAGTCTTCATAAAGGAAAAAAAAAAAATTAGTACCATATCTTATATATTTTTTTAATTTTAGAAACTGGGATTGAAGTACAGTTTTTAGTTTAAAATATTAAAAATGAAAAACTTTACCATTATTATTTATAAGAGGCCTTGTGACAAAGCCCCTAGGTACATACATGTACACAAACGATAGCTATTACTACCTGACTGCTCAATCTGTGATTTCCCCTAAATGTCCCAATGTGAACAATTAATTCCTGCACAAGGATCTGTTAATGTTCTATGTTATACAGGGATGAGGACATCTCATCACAGAACACTGCGACTTAATATAACCCAACATGAAATAAGTTTAACGAGACTGTTATATTCATAAGGGGTAAGACGAAAACGCATATGATTTTCAACTTTTGCCAGACTAATTAAATTCAATAACACGTTCAGAGTCTTCTCCTCCCGGGCACTTCTGAGAACTTTAGATCTCGTGATTAACTTTGTAATGAGTTGGTCAGCACCTTGATTAATATAAACGATTATGTTAAAGAAAGGTTATCATTTGGGTCAGTGGGCAGGGGAGATCATCCAAGGATAAAAGTGGGGGGAAGGACTCTTTCTCCTAGGACATTCACACAGAAAAACAAGACAAAAAAGGTAAACAAACGGAGTATTCACAGTAAAACATGCCAGACTTGTAGTTTCATTTGAAACAAACAGCAAATCATGAAACGTCATGAAAAATACAAGTAAAGGTAAAATCTCCTAGAGTAATTACTAAATGAAGTTAAAATTACCACACTGATCAGTAAACCCCAGAAGAAAAATAAACAGCTCTTACATTTCAAGTACTTCTTAACCAACATACAACTTTTTAACAGTGATGCATAAAATTGGT